TTCCCGCCCTCCCTTCACATACACAGGCACACACGTTTCCTGGGCTCACGTCAGACCGCTGCCGTGACACCTCCCCCCCCCCGACCCCCTCTTGATGACCCTTTTCGGACCCCGGCCGAATGCCTCCCTCTGGTGGTGGCACCTCCCGGCATTTCCCCCCCCCCCAAACCCCCGTCATCACCCCCACCACCACCCCCACCCCCTCAGGAGATGAGTCCCCGTTTTGTACGGCACTTTTCTCTTATCTCCATGCCGCCTGTTAGTGAGGTGGCGCTGCGGGCCATATTCGGTGTCCTGATGGGGGGCTTCCTGGAGCTTCATTTCCAACCAGGTGGGGTGGGGGTGGGGCCCGGGGTTGTGTGTGTGTATGTGTATGTGTATGTGTATGTGTATGTGTATGTGTATGTGTATGTGTATGTGTGTGTGTGTATGTGTGTATAGAAGGGGAAGAAAAAAGGAGAACTAAACGGGATGGAAAAGGAACGCTTTTTTTTCTAGCCCGCCTCCCTTGTCCCGTCCACCTCCCGTCCACCTCCCTCTTGCCCACCCAGTTCGCGCTTAGATCACGTGTCTTGGAACTTACTTACACGTTCTTACCTACACACGCAAACACATACATGTAAACATACATGTATACATACATACATACATGCAGACATTCGCGCCCGGCTCCAGCGGCCGCTGGTGGATGCGTCTGTGGAGGTTTACTCGCACGTGTGTTCGGAGCTGCTGCCCACCCCCACTAAGAGCCACTACACTTTCAGCCTGAGGGACGTTTCCAAGGTGTTCCAGGGCATGCTGACCATTCGGCCGGCGCAGTGTGGCCCGGGTGACCCGCGGGTCACTCTGGTCCGGTTGTGGGTGCATGAGCACATGCGGGTGTATCATGACAGGTGGGACGGAGAGGGGAAGGGGGAAATCGGGGGACGGAGGGGGGAAGGGGGGATGTGGTTGAGGATGGAGGGGATCGGGGAAAGGGATTGGGGAGAGAGGTCTCGAGCACTGTTTTGTTTTTTTCGTTTAGAGCCCTTACGTCCATTTTTATAAATTATAGAATTTCCGTTTCATTTGTTTTTTTGTGTGATTTGTTATCCTAAGTACACTCTTTCTGTCTGTCTGCCCCGCCAAATGCAATATACCATTTTTATTCCGTTACATGACCTACCTACCTACCCCTACCCCACCTATGCCGTACAGGCTGGTCAACGACACGGACAAGAGCTACTTTAAGGACCTGTTATGGAGCTGCTCA